CATGTTTATGGTAGGAAGAAGGCTCTTTCTCTCTCTCTGTCTCTCTCCTTTTTTATTTTTTGAAGTGGCTTGACCATCCAAATTAGGTTAAATCAAATATTGGTCTTCATCGCCTTTGCTAGAAGCCATTTTGGTTTTTCCTCAGTGTGAACTGGCGGGGAGTCTTGAGGTCTCATTATCAAGTCTATAGAGTAACTTTATCCATAGTCGCTCACATGTATGTCATATAAGACCAGGGATGGAGCTAGACATTTGTCGTTGTGGGGTCAAACTTAAAATACAATTTCTTTTAGAATAACATATCATAATATATCTAAAACGCTCGTTTCAACTACATTTTGCTATGCACTTAAAAATAAAGGTTTTTATTTAAAATATTTCTCCATGAATGTTACAAAATCAAATTCAATATTAACAAAATATGAGCATAGCATCTAGATGACAGAATTTGCTATTTCAGTTGAATAAATAGTAAGAAGAAACAAGCTGAAATCAACTATTTTTTTTTTAATACTAGCAGAGACCAAAATCATACTTTCTTGATTCACACAAAATTTTATAGTTGTCTTCTTAATTTCTTATTNAGGTTTTTATTTAAAATATTTCTCCATGAATGTTACAAAATCAAATTCAATATTAACAAAATATGAGCATAGCATCTAGATGAGAGAATTTGCTATTTCAGTTGAATAAATAGTAAGAAGAAACAAGCTGAAATCAACTATTTTTTTTTAATACTAGCAGAGACCAAAATCATACTTTCTTGATTCACACAAAATTTTATAGTTGTCTTCTTAATTTCTTATTTATAATTGCAACAATTAGATCCAAACCCCATAATTTAACCGGATAAGGATAAATGCATGATTCTCCAAAAGACATCACATAACCAAAAAAAAAAATTATCCAAATGCTATATTGATAATTTCCATAATATGGCAATGCCGACTTGTTTAGATATTTATGTCTTTTTCTGTAGACTAGATAATAACTAATAAGCGATGGGGAATTGGGGATTGTAGTTGAAAATATTTCTCAAATCTCAAATTCAATTATTCAAATGAATTTTAGAATAAAAATATGTAAAATCAAACAAGTTGGGTGTCAATTTGTTACCTAAACGGAAGAAAGATCACAAAGTTAGCATAAGAAAGAAAATCCCAAAACGTGAAGAAGTGGAGAGAATGGACTTGGAGATGGAGTTGGATAGGTGAAATACCAATTAATGGGCTTGCGCAATTGGACTTGACAATAAGCAATTCGACAAGGTTATATTTAATCTTTAGTGTACCAAAAAAAAAAAAAAAAAAAACCCAAAAGTAGTAGTGAGAAACTGTACATACTATCATTTGAGTCTTTAATGTTTGATATGAATTAGAGTTCACACGGGCGTCCAGTGGCCTTCAAGAAAACAATTGATCTTCACATTTACGTGTTGAACAATTTGAAGTGTTTGTTTCCACAAGAGTTACGTTAAAATTTAATGAAATTGTTTCGTCATGACATTAAATATGCAATTATGATAAACAGTTGAAGCTTTGACCAACTACATCTAAATTGGAGGGAAATTGAAACTTCAATGATGAGTTTGAAATTAAAAATAAAATTTATTATTAATTAAAATTAACTTCGTTCGACCTCAGATCTTTTCTAATCCAATTTGAAAACACCGTATTTTACTCTTGGATGGCTGTGTGACAAAGCTTTAGATATATAATTTAACACTTTACGGTGGACCAATTCAAACTAAATCAGATCGAACTTACAGAAAAATTAATGGTTTGTTCTTCAAATCGAGAACCATTTGGTTCTGATTTCAGTTCAGTTCTAGTTCCAAAATGGAGAATCAGAATAAGAACCAAACTTATTATATATATAGTACTAATTGAAGACAACCCATTTGAAAACAGCTCATTAATCGATTCTAGGTCATTGGAGACAGTCTATTAATTGTGTATACCATAATTTTGTATTCATTTTAATCATTTAGCTTTCACTTCTTATCAATTTACACGATGCCAGGACGTCGGCATTTCATCACGTCAATAGAGGAGATTCTGTTAAGATAAAAAGGAAAAATAGAATTGGTCAATCATTTAAAAAGCCTTTCAACTATTTTTTCACATTACTTGTTTGATGAACCATTTGTGTTCTTCGCAATAGAGGAAAATTCAATAAATATTTAGAGTATTAAACGATTAGTGGTTGCTTGTAAAAGTTGGATTGTAAAAGTTTTGCATAATTCATTCTTTATTGTGGGGGTGTGCCATCAAAACTACTATAATTAATTTAGTGAATCATTATTATTACTTTGTTAGACAATCTTTTGTATAGGAATGAAAATTGATTTGTGTATTCGAATTATGACTATATTTTATTTGTTAGTTTGAATTTTTATGATCTTGGTTATTGCCTATTGGTAATTTGAACTTACTAAATATTTGATGTTAATTTTTTTTTTTTTTTAATTTATGCATATGTTACTAACTTATATATATAGTGTCAGTTAGAAAATTTAAGAAATGAAACCAAAACCAAAACAAACCAAACTAGAATGGAATAGTTCTGATCGATTTTGTTCCATATCTTCAGAAAAAAAAATTGGTTTTTTATCAAAAAAACTAGAATAATACTATTTGCAGTCGCTCACTACGGCAGTCGCCCAACGTGATATACACATGGCAGGTGGTTATTTGATACATTAATGAATAAAAAAAACTACCACATTAATGCATTAAATAATCACATGGATGCCATGTAGGACGACTATCGCAGTGAACAATTACGAATAGCATTACTAAAAAAATTATTAGTCCATAGTTCGGTTCAATTTTTTTAGAGTTAGATGAAATCATGTCCATTCCTATTAACATATTTTAATAAAAATTGATAAAATATATAATTAAGAGTTAATGAAAGTTATGATTTCCAAAATTTTATACAACAAGCACAATTATGGAAGAAAAAGAAACGAGGTAAACAAGTCAAGTCAACCGAGCGTTGTGATTTTAATTAGTGGAGCAAGTCAAGTCAATTAGAACGTAGTTTTACACTGTAAATGAACACAAAACAAAAAATTAATTTCACGTGGGTCCCATTACTTGCTTTTCTAATCCTTCTTGTATTGACTACTAAGCGTGTAGTAGCGCACGATACACATTTCCTTCTAGAGGTGCATTGACTAATCAACGAAAATCTTTATAAATGATGTAAAATTGAGACATCATCTCATTAATAATGACGTAATAATTGTGTTAAAATTATAATAATACTGCCATATTTTTGAGCTCATTACACAACCCCAACCACCATACTCACCTTTTACTAGATCGCCTGGACTCGAAAGAAAGACATCATCCATCTTCACCTTTACAAAACCCTTTCACTGTCGAATCCCGCCACCAAGCTTCCTATTCTCTATTTCGTCCATGATGATTGAATTTGCAACAAGACTACTAATATGACCTAATCATCCAAACAAGACCACCATCACTAAAGTTAATTCATGGACTCACCAACAAATTGATTCATCAGAGTCTGCTCCCTCATTGGTGTAGCCCCAAGAAAAGAAGATGAAAGAAAAAAAAAAGTTAGATCTAAATTGTCAACACAAATTCCATCGTCATGGCTACCATTACCGTCACTTTGAACGAATGTAATTTGCAGTAATAGATATTCAAAATTTACTTGTCTGAGTCCGCTCCCTGTCCAAATTTGCTTTTGATGGATGGCACATGTTGAAAATAAAAAACATTGAGCATTATATTTGGAATAATTAAAGTAAATGAGTATATTTTCCTCTTCATTTATATATTTCTTATAAAGCCCTGTTTGGCCCCTATTCTCATTCTCATTCTTTTTCTCTCTTTTATTTTTGACTACACAATCTTTCATAAAATAATATTATACGTAAATCAAAAAATTTTCATTCTTTTTCAACCACACAATTTTCAAAAAAAACATTATTCCAACCATTAAAATTTAGAAAGAATGAGGGCCAAACGGGGCAAACTCAATTGGTTTTACATTCTTTGCATTTTAGTGCCTGTTTGGCTCTCTTTAAAAATTTAAATTATTTGCTACTTCAACCACACATTCACGCAATAAAATATTCTACACACAAATCAATAATTTTTTTAATTATATATTTTTCAAAAAATATTATTCAAAATTTTTTAATTTCTCAAATAATGCTTGGCCCGTGTTTGCCATCCATTTTCTTTCATTTGTTTTCCTTATTTTTTCTACAGTACTCATTTTCAATCACATTTTTCGTTAAAATAATATTACACATAAGTAAAAAAACTTTTGCTTTTTTATAACTACAATTTCAAAATCGATCACTATTCCATCATACATTCTTCCCAAATAATGAATGATAAACACACCCTTAATTGACGCACGAAGTTTAAAAGACAAAATGGAGGTTCGTGTTGACTTTTCCATGAACGGAAAGTAGTAGTCAACAACAAGTCCTTTCGGGTGATGACAAAATTCTATATATTTCAAATAAAATTAAGATTCTGAAGGTAGGTCAAAAATATAAAGAAAAAAGGTGAGTTGACGCATCCAATGACGAGTAGTATGAAAACGTATTTTTTTTTCCTTTCCGTGTTGATTTTTCGGATGAAATCCAAATTAGAGTCGAGATCAAAACTTCGACTCGTACTGGTAGCAGTAAGGTTGATTTAAAAGACAATCTCGTTTCCTTGTATATTTATCTTCATAACTAGTTCTAAAATTCAATTAAAGAGAAAACAGAAAACAGAAGTCATCAATATAGAGTAATAGGTGAATTAGCTAGTTCTTTTTCTTTTTAAAAAAAAAGTTTTATCTGTTTCCAACTTTTTATCAAGACGAAAAACATGACGCCAGATTCCATATTTGAACCGGGGTAAAAAGCGTGATCCAGCTAAATTATAAAAGCTCGCTCGTTTGTTTTTTCATCAAAAACTCGGCCTTATTTCTCTCTCCTTCATAGATTTCTGGTACTCACTATCGCCATTTTTGCACAATAATATGCATGATAATGCGTATCTGTGCTCTGAAATTATTTATTACTGTTTGATTTGATGTTAGGTAAGTAAATTCGTCAGCTGTCTAATCTTTGCTTAAGTGAGAAATAGTGAATGTGAAGCTGCACGAGCTTTAATCTTCGGTTGTTTCAACTGTTTCTGTACCGAACATTCTTTTTGTTATTCTGTGATTAGATGCTAACTAAATTCGTTCGTTGTTTTCTCTTTGTTTTAAGTCTGAGTTAGCAAATGCGAAGTTGCACGAGGTTCGACTGTTTCTGCTTTCAACTGAATTTTTTAAGTTATGTAGTAATGCAGTGTTTGTTTTGTTTTTGTGCCTTTTTTTGTAATTGTACTATTTTATGGTTGATTTTGCTTTGTAAAGGGAATCGTACTCCGATGAACGGTTGATTTGATGTGCGCATATGCTAATGTATATGTATAGTTACGGTAATTGTACTATTTTATGGTTGATTTTGCTTTGTAGAGGGAATCGTACTCCGATGAACGGTTGATTTGATGTGCATGCTACTAATTTATGGTTGATTTTGCTTTGTAAAGGGAATCGTACTCCGATGAACGGTTGATTTGATGTGCATGACAATGTATATTATGTATAGTTACTGTTACTGTTACTTATTCTGCGGCCTGCGCTGTGATGTTAGATAAGTAAATTTGCTGGCTCTGAATTTAACCTCCGGTAGTTTTAACTGTTTCTTTCTTGAACTGGATCTGGACTTAATTATTTAAGTTGTATAATTGATTTTCTGAGTGTTATTTTCTTGTCATTTTTCCTCTATAACGTGAATTGTACGAAAATCAATTAATTTTGTCATAAAATTTAAGCCATTTGGGATGAATTTATAAATGTATTAAAAATCAGTGGTAAATAAATGGATAGTCCTCATGGATCTATTAGAACGTGGGATTGAAAATTTATAAATTTGCCAAACAGATTGAATTGAAGCCAAAAAGAATCTATATTTAATTTTCTGACATTGTATCTAAACAGAATGCTACGATCTGCACCTTCAAAGTTTAGGTGAATATACCATCCTCGCTCAAATTTTGACATATTTCTCAGATACTAGAACCTATATATTAATTTATTCTTGGAATTGGTCCCAAGTAACTCTGTCGTGTTTTCACATAAAACTCCAAAGTAACAAACTAATTTAATTCAGTTTTTAACAGAAGACGAGTTGCTGTTTTGCTCTTCTTCCCTTCTTGAATGACTTATTAGACTTTCTCTAATCACTTTTCTCAAAAAAGTCACATTGTCCTCTGTGTTTTCATATAAAAGGTGAAATATTCTAAATATGTTCTAGTTTTTAACAAAAGACATATCTATAATAATTTTTTGTTATCTACTGACCTTTTCATTTTTCTGCTGCTGACCAGTGCAAATTAGATGGAGAAGGTAACCAGTTATGGCTTTATCGTTGGTTTTGTCCCATTTGTTTGTGCTTGAAAAGGATTGTGATGATATAAAGTTCGAACAGTATGAAAAACTTGAGAAGATTGGCAAGGGAACTTATGGAGTGGTGTACAAGTGTCGTAATTGCGAGACCAATGAAATTGTTGCTCTGAAGAAACTGAAGATGGATAAACCAGACGAGGGAGTTCCTTACACAGCTGTCAGAGAGATTTCTCTCTTGAAAGAGATGCAGCATGAGAACATAGTAAGGTGCAACAATAGTCTCAACTAGTCTGGTTCTTACATATTTTTACGGAGGCAAAGATGAGATATGAAGAGTCGACTGCGAAGTACAAGCTTGATCTTGCTGCCTTTTTAATGAAGTTAAATTGATTTTTTGGAGTTTTCTATGATATTGTTGATCGAGATGGCTTGTGAGAACGTTCTTGCTAAATTCACAGGCTAGTTACTTCAAGTTTCTATGATATTTTCAGTAAACTTTCTCAGTTATTTGGTGACAGGCTGCTGGATGTTGAGCACACTGAGAAGAGGTTGTATCTTGTATTTGAATATCTGGACTTGGATCTGGCGAAACACATGGAGTCTAGCCCAGAATTCTCAAGGAATCCTCGCCTTGTTAAAGTAAGTGTCCTTTTTCTGTGCACTGGAGGTCTACGAAATGATACTTCAAAATTAAGTTCATTATCTGCTGAGAATTGTTGGTTGATGAATGTTTAATTTTTTCATCGTTTCAGTTAGAAGTTAACAACTCTGTTGAGTTTGAGCATAAAACTGTTGGAAAAAATGGGTTGAGCGGCTAATTTTGGCATAAAATTTGAGAGGGACCCAGTTGGTTATTTTGGAAGTTCAAGATTGATTTGTGTTTTTCTCCGTGAGAACATTGAAATCATGTATTTGCTTGCCACAAGTGATGTCCTGGTAAATGAGAAATTGGAGCTTAAATTGTTCCGATTGTAGGACTTTATGTGTTGGAGGGAAACCATTTAAGGTTTGTCTCACATAGGAAAATTATGAAAGCAAATAACACCTTAAATAGAATTACATTTTGAAATTGTATGATCATATGTAGTATAAAGACTCTCCCTACGTGCGGCAAGGGACAAATCTAATCGAAATAAGTTGCGGATGTGGAAATTGACCCCTTAGAAAAGCCTACATTTTGCTAATTTTTTCCTCCAATTGACCGTTAATATACGATTTAATGACATTCATGGAGCTAAGCCTATATAAGCAACTCAGTTTCTACCATTCCTCACAAGAACAAGAACAATAACAAAAAATACAGTTTCTGCATACTGCATAGTCATATAGTTTTATGGTCTTGTTCGAATTTCTTTGGTTATACTGTTCTGATGCAAGTTCGGTTCAGTAGAGTAGTATTTGAGGTGCTCAAATTCTACCGTTCTTCTGTTGTATCTTGGGAGACAGATGTCCAAATTAAAAGTCGAGCACCTACAGTGAGGGTACAAATTTGTTTTAAGAAAATTGTGTTCACACTGGCCTTGATTAAAATATTTTCCAACTTTTGGCTAATTAGTTTACTCATTTTGTTTTATTGAAATTTAATCTGCTATATTTTGTATAATATCCAAGTCTGCTGCATATACAGTAAATTGCATATACGATATACGGTATGCGTAAATACGGTATGTTCCATATACGGTATGCGTAACTCCAGTATGTTGCATATATGGTTGCGGTATGTGTCAATCCGGTATTTGTTAATCTGGTATTCATCCACTAACATTTAGTCCAACAAAAACTTCCCTCACTTTCTTTGTTTTACTGCTTTATTTTTTGATGTAATTGATATGTGCCAAGGAGGCATGCAGATGCAGCGGGGGTGGGCTGGTGTCGATTTTGCATGTGTCGTGTGAATGAGGGTTTAGAGATGAGTAAACCAAGTTGATAATTCTGATTTATATCCTGAAGTGTCAAAGAAAAGAAATTCTGCAGATCTAGTGCTCCCAAATCAGTGTTGTGATTTTGTCACATTTTAAATTTTGCAGTTGTTTCTGTATCAAATACTACGTGGTGTAGCATATTGTCATTCTCACAGAATCCTCCATCGAGATTTGAAGCCTCAAAACCTGCTGATTGATCTTCGTACTAATACATTAAAGCTTGCAGATTTTGGATTGGGCAGGGCATTATCCATTCCTCTTGGGACACTTACGCACCAGGTAAATGTTGTAGAACTTGGTACTGATTCCAAGCTTCCATGACACTTGCGCACCAGGTAAATGTTGTAGAACTTGGTACTGATTCCAACCTTTCATGGAGACTGCTATTCACGGGTTAAAATTTAAATCATCTTGTCTCTATTTTTACATTTTTTTTACATGGGTTCTGATTTCATTCTGCAGGAAAAATCTGAACAATGAGAAACACTATTAAGTAGCATTGTAGTAGTACGTTTTTTTCCCTGGTGTCATCATAGTCTGCTGTCAATTCTCTAGTGATCTAAACGGTCGATTCTAATCATAAATCACAGGAAAATAGATACCAAAAGTAGGTCATGTACTTTGTGTGTCATTAGAATCTTCATCTCTCAAATAAAAGTTTCGAAAGAACTCTTCACTTAATATCTAATTTTTCATTTCTTACAACTGATATTCTTTTGCAGATGGTTACTCTATTGTACAGGGCCCCAGAAATACTACTTGGATTAAAGAAGTATTCTACTCCTGTTGATGTTTGGTCAGTTGGTTGTATATTTGCTGAGATGGTGAACCAGAAGCCCTTATTTCCTGGGGATACTGAGATTAAGCAAATCCGCATGATTTTCAGGTGCCACAGTTTTTCCAAGCAATGATGCACATAACTCTTCCTTTGAGATCATTTTTAGCAACTTCATAAGCTTTTAATGACAATCACTTCAGCAACTCAGAATCTTGGTGTTTTTAGTACAAAATGACTACAAAAATGCTTTCAGAACTGTTCTCTTTGCTGCATTAGATGACCCTACTTTGCCTATGTTGTTATCTGATAAGTTACTAAGCACTCATTGACAGTATTAGGGTGAGCAATTTTAATTACTTTATATGTCTATCTTGCGTCAAGCATGCACGAATTCTTAAATTGTACTGGTTAATTGTTCAGAATCAGTTAAAACAATCTCAACAGATTTCAGCAAAATTAATTGCGATCATCAAATGCATATTTAATATTTTAATTCATACTATTAATTATTCATTTCATATTTCTTCCTTTATACTGAAGTGTTATGGGAACCCCTAATGAAGATACATGGCCTGGAGTCACAGCTCTGACCGGTTTAATATATAAATATCCAAAATGCCTGCCTAAGGTTGTTGGCCTCAGCATCAATTCTTTTTCTCTTTTTTCTTTTTGTTAATTACTTGATTGATTTTTCTACAAGATACAAGCGTTAACTGGTGAATGCTCTATCTACAGGACCTTGCTACTGTGGTTCCAAATCTTGATGCAGCTGGTCTTGATCTCCTTGGTGTAAGTTCATTTCTGTATTAACATGTAATATAAAAATATGAAAAGTAGTTTAGATTCTGAATTCGGGGCTATAGCCGCTATACAGACTGCCTTGAAATCCTTCTTTGGAGCACTGTACATTTATCAGTCGTGCACTTTGCATTTACAGAAACCTGTATGTGCACATCCAAATGCAATTATGAAGATGATGGATTCTTCTGTTTTAGTCAGATATTATATTGAGCATGGATAATACTAGAGCATCATTTAGCTCATGCATTCTCGCATATTTATATGGGATATGGACCAAAGCTGGGGTAGTTACTTATTAGCAATACCTTTAAATATCTTTCCAAGCAGTTGATCCGTTAGAACAGTGCATTTAGCAATGGTTTACTTAACAATTGCGAAAACCCCTCAGCCACAAAAATTTGTTGTGCGTTCTCATCCAAATATGATCTTTATAAATTCTTCATGAAAGTTTTGAAGGCTACTTTGTTTCTTTGCTCTTGATCTTGATTATTGAATTGTTCTAACATGCTTAATACTTGCAACTATAGCTAAATTGCTGTAGACCTTCACATTGCAATTTTTCCAAAAAAAGAAAATTGATTTGCAAATTGTGGGTTCTGGGTTCACTGTTGTGTTACTATTACAGAAAATGCTGTGCTTGGATCCAATAAAAAGAATCACTGCTAAAAGTGCTCTTGAACATGAGTACTTCAAGGACATCGAGCTCATCCCCTGATTCAGTTCCATTGATCCCGGTGCATATATATATAGGTATGTGCTATCAGTTATACAAGATAGTTAATTAAATAGTTAGCAATATATAGAAACATTCCTTCTGGAGTAGTACTTAATACGATTAAGAGACATTCAGTTATAGCCATTTCTATTCCTTCAATGTACTCTACGAATAAAGGAATGCATAGTGTTGAACATGGTAAAATGAGAAACTGAAAGATTTATACTGAAATGTTACTGGCACAGGAATTATGGAATTCCCTGTTACCCAAAATTTAATTTTTCAAACTCCATTTTGGTTTGACTATCATTTTTTTCCCTCTCCCCTTTCCTACTTGAAAAATTTGTTAACATCGTCCTAAGGTATGTAAATTTGGCCTCTATTCTCTTCGATAGATTAATATGGCGCACCATTTATTCATTTAAAAATTTCGTACCTCACATCACAAACCATTATCTATGCCATATAATTAAATCTCACTTCACATCTTTCGTGTTTACGGTGAATTTAAATTCTTGGTTCTCTCCTAGAAAATTTATTTTGGTTTGAAAACTTTCACGTACTATTAGACAGAATCATTGTTTTATATAAACATTTTTTAGGTTTATATTTTATTGAAACTCAATAAAAGTTGTACAAGTAATAAAATATCTTTACCAGAACATAATCCTATCTTGCGATATCAGAACCAGAATATAGTTCCGCTTGGCTTTAATGCCAGCAATCTTTCTTCACTCTTAACGAATTTATATTATATCATTATAAGGATTTGGCCTTTCTTTTATTTCAGCCATTTATGCTTCTGGGACGAGGGAGAATAACACGACCATGTTGCTGGTGAGCGATTGCAGAAACACCCTCTGGCTGATGTCTTTAGATTACATATGATGTTACGGTGTATACGGCTTATGCTGTGTGTTTCATCATCATTCCCGACGTCAACAACTCTGACCTGAAAATAACTCGCTAGCTTCCTCCTGAGAGTCGTATTCTCTTGTTTGACTTGCTGGAACATCCCCACGCATCTGTAATAGCGGGCAGGACTTGACGTCAACATTTTCTTTGTTTGGCATCAAAACTACTTGAATAATTGACAATAACGATTGTGTGAATATAAAACGGCATAAATACATAGGATTTGTAGTCAAACAAAAGTTCCCTGCTTGCAGTATTCTAGAAATTGTGCGCATTCTTCTGTACTTTCTTTGTGCCTACGCTGTAAGAAATAAACTTTGCTAGTTTTCGATCTAACACAACCATCACTTGGATCTAGAATAAAATTGGATTGCTATGCAGTATTTGACCCCAGTAAACTGTGTGTTGAATAAGATTTTGATTTTTTTTCTTCCTTTTTTTTGTTTTTGTTTTTTAATACTATCCAATAAGTCTTTAAATAACAACAAAAACATTTTTGCTTGGTAATTGAAATCTTAGAAGTATTACATATACGCGAGAGAGAGAATATAAGGATGTTCTATTTTTAGCACATATTTGGTGGGAATTAAAATTAGATTTTTAGTAGATTTTAATAGATGATGAAATATGTGGTTAAAAAATTATAAACCCATAAAACATGTGGTTGAAACTAATTGTTTACTTTGACTTGGATTAAAATCTAAATTTTAATCGGTATCAAATATGGACTTAATAAAATTTATTAGTGTAAAGGTGTATTGGATTGATTTTATAAACAAACCATGTCAGACCTGATTATTTTTTAAAAAGGCTGTGTCATGCCTAAACAAGTGACACCTCTACATAAACTTAATTAGAGGTTCGAGAGAATATAATTGGATTTTAATTTTAATAATATTAATTACAATAAGTGATTGTTGTGATTAGGACAAGAACCCATGGTGGATGATTTTTCTACTCACCGACCATTGATGAGTTGATCTTGCTATAATAGAAGAGGCTACATCTTGACTGAGATCAAGACTCTGGACAATTTGTATTGATAATGGTAATAAGCAAACTGAAAATTGGTTAAAATGTAACTTTTATATTCTCATATAGTCGTGTTTGTAATTAAATCAAAGTTCGTCAAGCCGATTCAATAAGAAATAGAATTACTCTATATCTAGTAATACGGGAATTTATAGGTGCTTGTGCTTTGCTAGTGTTGAAAGTGTCAGCCTGATTCAATAAGAAATAGAATTCATCTATATCAAGCAATACGGGAATTCATAAATTCTTGTGCTTTGCTTCTGTCGAAAGTGAAAGCAACAAGTCAGTAATAATGAAAAATAATATCAATAAACAAGTTAATAAAAACACTAAGAGTGTGTTTGATTGATATGTGGCTTATTTGTGAGCGGTAAAGATGGTTGTTTGTGAGTGCATTTTAAATCACAAATTTATGAAATGGAAATGTAGTACAAAACCATAAAATTAAATAAGAAAATTAAAATAAGAAGGAGTAGAAAACGAAGATTAAATCCGAGGCAAGTGTATTCACTCTCTCCTTAAGACAACATTGCCCCGCTACGGTGCTCACGGTTGGCGGCAATTGTCTCCCAAGATACAACGGATTCGATTTGTGGTAGTAGCACTTCAAACCACAAATCCGGCGAACTTTTGACGTAGTTTCCCCTCTACAAGGAATATAATATATGAAAAGAGATGAAGAAGAAGAGAATTGCAATTTTGAGAAGAATGAATGCTCAATATGCAAATGGTGTACTCTCAAAGTCATCCAAGGGGTCCTTTATATAGAGAATGGAGTGGTGTGATGAAAGGATTTGAGCCAAACCATGCAACGTTCCGAACAGGTGCCACTATTCCAAAACCACAATTTCTCATTCATTTTTGAATTGGTTTATTAATAAACACCATTTCCAACAATCCCCCACATAAATGAAAATTCGAGTACATAAGTATCATGCAATGCAATGATGATGCATTATGCATTGTAGAGAGTAAGCGGAAAAACACTGCATCAGGTAAGGTAGCTTCTGACTTTGAACCTCCCTTAGTGAAATACTATCGGACTTACTCGGCTAATTGGTGAACGTGATGTCTTGAACCATTCAGCCTTT